CCCAGTGACGTTGAACATTTTTTCATGTATTTATTTGCTATTTCTACTTCTTTGTCTGAGAAATGTCTGTTCATTTCAGATGCCCATTTTCGGATTGAGACCCTCGGTTCTTCATGACGAGCTCTCCGGAAGCCAGACAGCCTGGGTGCACTAGGAGGCCTTGTGGTATTTCCCAGCATCCCTTGGGAATTATGTGCCTCTTTGTTTTGGAAAGTGTGATAGTTAACAGTGGTGTCAGCTTTAGGAAGAAATGCCTGCTGATTGGTTTAGCACGGTTCGGGTTGTGTCTGGATGATGGACATACAGAAGGGGGAGGACTCACGCTGGGTGTGGGAGACACCAACCAATGGGCTTCTACCCTGGGTGGAATCAAAAGGGAAAGAAGGAAGTCTCCTTCTGTTGCTTCGGAGGAGCTCCAGTCTTCACCGTCACCTTTGGGCATCCGTCTCCAGGCTTCCAGGACAGACCCTTAGGCTTCCTGACAGGATTTGCATGGGACTGCGAGGGGAGCTCCAGGCCTTTGACTTGTGACTGGGTCCTTTGGCTCTCCAGCGGGCAGATGGCCCTTTTGCACTCTTCCACACCTGACTCTGTGGGCGGCCATTATAAGCCGACCTCGTAAATCTCTAGTTATTTATCTATCTATCTATCCATCCATCATATATCTTATATTAAATCAGTTCCTCTAATGAACACTGACTGATACAGAGAGGGAGGGACTACATCATCTGGATATCACCTTTCCACCTTTTCCAGCTCCTGGTAGCCCCCAGTGTTCTTGGTACGGGGCAGCACTAACTCTGATACTCACATAACCTTTCTTTTGTGCATATCTGTGTCTGTGTTCAAATTTCTTCCTTTTACAAGGACATGAGTTATAGTGGGTTAGGGCCCACCTCGTGTCTTCATCTTGACTATGTCTACAAAGAGCCTATTCCTAAACAAGGTCACATTCTGAGGCACTGGGAGGTAGGATGTCAGTCTGTCTTTGCTGCGGGGAACAGTTCATAATGCCACCTCCAGAAACTTCGGACTCACAGCCTCAAATGTAATGCCCGGCATCACAGCTGACCATGCACTAGATATTTCCAGCCCTGACAACAATAGCTGCCAGATGTGACATGGAGAGATGTGTTTTATGGAGGTGAGGGGTCCAGGAGACACTAATCAGGTATCTGGACCTCATTGGTCCCACAAGACACGACAACAGAGTTGGATCAGGAGGGAACCATATCCTGAAAAAACCCCACAAGGTACATGACCCACCTCTGAATAATATAGGACAAACTATACTTCCAAGATACAGCTCAGCCCCATTCAGCATGAATTTGAGTCAGCACAGTCAATTAATCTTATCAGTAATGACTTGCACACCAGATGATTCAATCTGTACACCGGAAACGGCCACTGTTGGTGGTTGTGTTGCCTGGCTCTCCCTTCTGCTGTTTCTTCCCCCACCTGCTCCTTTAATATGTTGGCTTAGTTCTCTGCCTCCTCCTTCTGTCCTGGTTTGCTTTTAGCTTCCTTCCCAGTGGAGGTCAAAGGTCACATAAGGAGAAGAATCAAATAGCTTGGTATAAAACAAAAGAACCTTTAACAAAGCGGAAGTACACTTTTACTGGAAATATAATAAAGAAAAGTCATACACTGGACATGTATTTAAAATCAAATCTCATACTTTTTTATTGTGAAAATATTTATTTAAAAGATTTTAAGAAAAAAATGAATAAATATAAGAAAATA